ATGACCCCAAAGTGAAGTTGACACCTCAGGTGTGGAAGAGATTAAGAAAAAGCACTTGCAAAGTGGGATCGACTGACATAGAATAACTCTGGGAAACATTTCTATCTATAATAAGGGTTAAGAAAGGGTGAGCACAAGAGGTAAGTCAGGAGAGTCAGGCAATGGCTCTCATGGTGGGGGTCAGGGAATGGGGGAGGGAGGGCTTTGCTGCAAGCAGGCAAACTTCATTTTACTCATTCCATAGAAAGTAAGGACCAGCATAGAGCTGGGGAAATGGACAGCAGGCTCCAATCTTAACTGAGGAACTATTGGCAGCTGATCACTACTAGGTGAGGGATAGTCAATCTTCTTCAAGGGTGTGATAGGTTTAACAGGCTCCAGTGGATGAACTCACACCAAGGGACATCTAGAAATACAAACTTGACTCACTAGGCCTTAACATATATAACAGAATGCATGAAATCCAGTGGGTAGGCTACAGGGGGGTGCAGATAGGTAAGTGGGGGGCTAAATATGATTAAGATGTCTGAAATGCATAAAAATTCAGTAAAGATACATTGAAACAAAAAGAAATATATTTCTCCCCCACCCACCACCAAAAGATAAAGAGTCTGATTTACAACCTTTCACAGGAGAGAGAGGCTGGGAAGAGTGGGGAGGGGCTAGGATGAAATGGGATAGGTTGAGTGCTCTTGATGTTCTAAGGTCCCCATTCCAAATCTTCAGGTAAATAGTGCCATCTTTCTCTTTGCCTCCTTTGTGTCTACCTGGCCACAATCATTTTGTAAGAATTGAGAATGGACAGGCCATTTCTCTGGTGGACCCCAATTTCCATCTATGAAGTAACAGAATTAGGCTCAAAAGGATAGAAGGCTTTCTTCCTCCCCAGGATGAGCCGAGCTCTCCCTTCTCTGAACCCTGCATCAGGTTTGTTTCATTTTTGCACTCCTTGGCTTTGTCTGCCTGAAGTCTGCATGCTCTGTTTCCCTAAACAGAATGTCAGTTCCTGGTGGGTAAGTGTATTAGCCATTTTTCTGTTGCTGTGATAGAAACACTGATCCAAGCAATTTATAGAAGGAAAGGTTTATTTGGGCTTACAGTTCTAGGAGAATTACAGTCTGCAATGGCAGGGAGGTATTGATATCAGGCTGGAGGTGGCTGGAGCAGGAGCAGCAGAAGCTAATCTCTCACATCATCATGCAGGCACAGGAAGCAAGAGAATGACTGGAGATCTGGCAAAGCTTAAGAACTCTCTAAGCCCACTCCCAGTGACATGCTTCCTCCAGCATGGCCACACCTTCTAAAACCTCCTGAAACAGCGCCATCATCTGGAGACAAAATGTCCAAATACTTGGAGCCTATGGGAGACATTTTCATTCAAACCATCACAGTAAGGCCGCCCTGTGCCCTGTGCCCTCTGCTCTGTGCCGCTGGCATCCTCCACCAGCTGCTTCAGAGTGTCTCTCAAGACTTCCATCTTCTTGAATGTGAGTCAGCTTCCTTCTTGTTATCTCTGTCATTCTTATACTTCAGAGCCTCCAGATGTGGGCCCAGAGCCCTTTATCAACTATAACCCTCAGACTGGACGTTTTCTTACTCAGTGCCCCTCTGGGTAGCACTTGGGATAGAAGAAGGAGAAGAAAGTCAATGGGAGAGGAGACATGGCCTGAGTCCTGTTTGCCTCATGGGAAGTTGAATTCAGGTCTGTAGGTATGCACATCTGTTTATGAAAAAATGTAAGCACAAGCACATGTGCATGCACAGGTATCAGATGTGAGTTTTCTTGTGCTTACTTCCATATTATGGTGTATGTGAGGGTCTATGTATGTGTCTGCACTTTAAGAAGATATATAAGAAGATGTATGTAAGTCAATATGTTAGCACTGAATATCAACATTTGAATGCTTCTTGTAAATTTGTATAGTTCACATATGTTGGTGAACATACACACACACACAAATGCCTACCTATAAGTTCATATATGTATGGCAGAACACACACACACATATGGGACATATGGAATTGCTGCTGTTGTACATGTGTGCATATATATATATATGTATCATATGGAATTGCTGCTTATATATATACATATATAGGACATATGGATTTTATTTGTGTGTGTGTGTGTGTGTGTGTGTGTGTGTGTGTGTGTGTGTGTGTATGGGACATATGGAATTGCTGCTGCTGTGTGTTTACCATGTTAACAGAGTCAGAACACAGTGTTTATTTAAGAACATATGCTCCAAAATATGCCTATCTGGGTTCAAGCCTCAAATTCAGCATTTAAAAGTCACGGGTGGTTTACTCATCTTTAAATTGGGGAGAATAATCTTACCAACTTTCAGTATCTAACATGAGGGTAGAATGATGTATTGTCTGTAGTGTATGTTAAAAATGGTCATTGCAAAGTGCAATGCATTAGCAAGTTCCAATGTAACTGGGCTGAAGAGTTCAAGTGTGGCTTTCTACACTTTCAGATGTGCCTTTGGACATGTGAGCTTAGTATATGTACCTTTTATAACATGAATGTTGGTACCATTCAAAAACATAGAAGCATCACGGTGTACATGGCCAAACACTGAGGGCTGGTGGATGTGTGTGATCTTTCTAAGTGTCTCTGGGTATTTATGTTCTAACAGAACTTTGACCCTTCTGAGGGAAAGGATTGTGTCTCATGTATTAGCATACCTAGAACTAAGGCCTGAGATTTAGCAGTTGTTAAATAAATTTATGTTGACCAAATGACTGAAGTACACTGACGATTAAGAATGTTACTCAAATAATATGGCCATTTTTAGAGAGTAAAAAAGCAGGTACAATCAGTTACCTAGTTATCTTGGTGACACATAGGTAGATAGAAAAGATGTTAAATACAGAGATACATGGATGGCTGACTTGATTGATGGATGGATGGACAGCAGACATTTGAATATCCAAGGTTGGTTCCGGTTAGATGGAATCCCATATACTTATTCTAGAAGAAATGTTCAAGTTCATATGTCCCAAAGTTTCCTTCCTGGTAGCTTGTGTGCTGGTATCATAGATGTGCTCAGAGGATTTGATAAAGAGGAAGTCACAGAATATAAAAGCTAACTCCCTTACCATACACCAATAGAAGTCTGTCTGCTTTTGATTTTTAAGTGCCGGAGTTCATATAGAACTGTACTTAAAAGAAAGATTGCACCATTTAAAATATCTGAGAATTTTCTTATACCCCCAAGCTTTCATTCCACAAAATGGAGAAGCTGAGCCATACAGAGGGGAAAAGTTTACCACTTCCTGGCTTCTCTTCTGGATCAGTTCCTACCATAGCATCTTCCTTGAAAGGTAGTAGACACAAATCTTGTAACTCATAGAAACTGAAGCTACTATCATAGTGACCTTGAAGGATGTTGAAGAAAGAGGCCCATTTTTCGAGACTCATCCATCAGATCACCAACCATGGGCTGTGCTTATGTTAGTTGGTCCCATTCACCCAGTCTCAGTTGAGGGGACCTAGGAAACACACTCTGACCCAAACAGCAAATTGGAGTATCCCAAGGCAGTGTGGATGTGGGACAGCAAGATGCTAGTCTGCTGATCCTTGAACTAGGAAGTGATGTGTAACCAAGATGAAGGAAACACACAGAGATAAGCAGGCAGAACAGGCTATGTAGCTTCAGGAAGAGTGACAGATGGAAAGATGGACAAACTCTGGTGCCTTATGGCTTTTCTGGTCTGACTCCAAGGTGCTTCAGCAAGTAGGATGCAATTCTTGCTCTTGATCTTCTTTCCCCCTTATCTTCACATTATCTGATATAATTAATTATTTTAAAGCAAAATTATTAAGGATAGAATCCAATATCCTTATAATTATTCCCCCTTTGGCTAAGCTAGTTGAAGTAAGTCTCTATCTTGCAGCCATATCCTGCCTGAACAAGGCAGTACATTTGGACACTCTCAGCACATGGACATGTTCCAGGGTCTGACACTGGCTACTGGTATTCTTCCCAAGGCCCTTTTGGAGAGGCCTAATATAAAGCTGTAGCAAAAGGACAGCTCATTGGTGGTGTCTTTGTGGGGTGCTTTGTGAAGACTCATTAAACATCTCCATGAAAGAACATAACCCATCTCTCAGGCTTTGCTGCCAGATTCCTACAACAGGATCTGTGCACCATTTCCTGCCTAGACTCCCCTGTTTAACCAACCTCCAGAGCAGGAGAGCCACTATTATAATAGCAAGTGCTGTTCTGTAAGGTGATGGCATCTCTTCATCAAAATCAAGCAATTTCTCCAGCATCCAGGCCCCGAGTGTAGGGGTTTGTGTAGGTATCACTGTAGTACACACAGTAGGGCTGTAGAGGAGCAACAGACCAGTCTTTCTGCTGAGAGTCTCCAAAATCTACTCCTCGACCCTCACCATGTCATTACATGTTCCCATGGTGGCTATGGAGACCGGGATGTAAACACATCAGATAATGAATGCAAGAGTAAGTGTGTTCAATTTACCAGCCAGTGGGTCAGGAGGGATTTGGGAGGAATCATGGGAAGTGCCCCTTCCCACCCATTAACAGGACACCTCTTCCCAGGAGTTATTAACATTAGACTTTGCACTAATAGCTGCCATCACAGAGGCACCAGTTGGGTTTGGGTTTGCATTCCAAGTCTTACCACTGAATGAGAAAATGAGAAAGTTAGCCTAGGACGAGCTGGCGTGAGGAAAAGAGACATATGAAGGCATCAGAATGTTAAAGGAGGTGAACACTCTTCCCTTTTTTTTCAAACCTAGCCTGGCCTTGAACCAGGACTGTTCACATGACATAAAAGTTAGCCTAGGACGAGCTGGCGTGAGGAAAAGAGACATATGAAGGCATCGGAATGTTAAAGGAGGTGAACACTCTTCCCTTTTTTTTTCAAACCTAGCCTGGCCTTGAACCAGGACTGTTCACATGACATCCAAAGGAATCCAGCTGCACCGAAGGATGAGTGTGAGCCAGAGGAAGAACATGGGCTTCAGGGCCAGGTGCTCAGCCAGCCTCTCAGAACAGCCAAACCAGGAGCACAGGCAGGAGGAACATGGGCCAGGCCAGCAGGAACCCTGAAACACAAGAGACACAAGGGCTCAGTCAAGTGCTGAGCTTTGGAACACAGCAGCCAACGTGAGCTGGCCTCCTTGTCCTTTGCCATACGAGGGTGGGAAGACAGCACAAACCTACATTTGGTTTGGGCTACAGTTCCTGTGAGTCATGTGATAGAAGCAAAATTAGCTAACTACCAATTACTTTTTCCTTTTTCTTCTGGGCACAGAGGAAGGCAACTTTCCACAGCTTCCTTTGCAGATAAGCAGTACCATGTGCTTAGATATTGCCAATGAAATAAGGATGGGAATCATCCATTTTTAGGCCTTCTCATAAAAGCCTCCAGCATTCTCCTCATCCACCATCTAGGCACCAGTTAGAGTATCCAAGACGCAACTCATAGGAGATAGTGCTGTTACTGGAAGGTAGGGGCAGCTGGGACTTCTTAGATCAGGTTTGTATCCCCCATCATAGGATTTAGTGGCGACTTATACTACTGTGCAAAGGAACAGAGAGCTTGGAATTGTTGGTTATAGCAGCTCACATTACTGACACTGACAGATGCTGAAGAGGCAGAATGACAGGGTTGAAAAGCACCACTGCTGAGGTTTCACTGTTCATCCTAGGTTGTAGCTCTACAACTCCCTAGGCGGACCTTCACAAGATATTAAACCTCTGTGCTCGTTTCCTTACATACAAAACATAAATATTAATAGCACCTATTACCTTATCAGATTTCATAAGGTTTAAATAAGTCAGTTCATATCAAGTATTTACAACTGACATGAGGGCTGGGGAACATAGCTCAGTGGTAGACTGCTTGCCTGTCATGTGTGAGGTCCTAGGTTCAATCCCAACACTGCAATAAAATAAAATAAAATAAGTGCCTGAAACATGGTAAGCATCATGTGTTGGCTTTGAAAACCAGTCTCTGAGATCTGGGGGTATATATGACTCTTTTGCACACTGCTGGTTATTCAGTGTTGAGGGGAAATGTTGGATAATCATTTCATGTCAACTCTCTAAGCCACTACCAGAGTTCAGGATCTCCCATCCCCCACAGGTTAATGTAATTTGCTGATATTTTAAAGAGTGTGTGTGTCAGGGGAGCATAGTTTAAAAAAAAACATAAATGTGTGAAAACCAGTTTATAAGATGAGACATAGATGGATGTTCAAGTAATCCTGAGGCATCGGAAATGATTGCAGGAGGCTACAAACTAGGAGAACCACAAGTGCCCTCTTGTGGCTTGCTCCCTAACTATCAGATGGATTCCTTCCTCTTCCACAAGATTCCAAAATCCCATGCTAGAAGTTAGACAACTCAGCAGACTCCACTGGGAAGTCACCCTTCTGGGCACTGTGCCAACCTGAAGGTGTAGGGGAGGTGAAGAAGACAAGATGACCCCGATGTCAGGATGCGTTTACTCTGTGCTCTGTGCACTCTGTACCATGAGTCTTACTACCTTAACACAGTCTGGCTATTAGCAGTGAACATACAGAGGCCTTCTTGTACTTCTTTGGGAACGTATTAGAATGCTGCATAGTTGGAAACTTGCACATGAAGCGACACTTTTAAGTCTAGGTTCACCAATATAAATCTTTCAGGAAATAGAAAAATATTACTACTATGCATTTTCCTTCCCATGCAAAATATATTTATTCAATGTGTTGTATCTTAAGGGCCAAGTCATTTATCAAATCCCCTTTCAGACACTGCTGTCTGATGAGACTCTTTCCTGACCTTTTCCAGCACAGTTAATTAGTCCTCCATGTTCCTCTGTGCTAGTTACCTGCTTTGTCACTTAGTAACGTATGCCCCTGCCTGCCTTGCTTACTCAATACCCTACAGCCGCTTCTAACCTTAGGGCTCTGTTCCCTTGATATTTCCTGATCTAGACTCTGTTTCTCTTTTGGTTAAACACAGTTTTCTCTGACTGTTCTTCTGACCACATATCCATTCTGGCATTCCTGTTTACTTCCTACTTTGATAATACATTCACCAGACATTGTTTGCACACATGGCCATATCAAATAAAGATCACATTTCCCAGGTTCCTTTGCAGCCAGGTATGGCGATGTGGCTAGACATGCCATAGAATGAAGGTAGGAGGTGCCAGCTGCCAGGAATATTCCTTAGCACTCACTGATTTCCTTCGAGTCCCTCCATTCTGACGGGGGGTTGGTGCTCTGACTGCCACCTTGGACCATGAAAATGATAGCCACACCTTAAAGATGTGAAATAGCTACTTGGAAGGACCTTGGATCTTTGATCACTTCCCAGTCTACCCTACTAGCCTCTTGCTTCTAGATTTCACTTATGTGGGAAAGAAGTAAACTTGTATCTAATTTAAGACTAATTATGACCCACTCTAGTAACTTCCTATCACGTCACTGTCTTTTACTTCTATTTTCTGCTTTTTATTGTCTATTCTCTACTCTGAAACATACATGTTACAAAGGCAGGCACCTGGTCTTTCTTGATCAGCATTGTATTATGAATTCCTAGAACAATGCCTGGCTCACAGCAGGCACTTGGTAAGTATTTGTTGTTAAATAACTGTGTTCTATGCTAGATTGTAGAACTACTGTTGGATCACACTCATTTTAGTAGTCACAGTCCCTATAGGGCCTGGCACACTGAAGAGGCCGCATCAATGTGCAGTGGTTTGAAGGATGGAAGGAAAGAGATATGGCAGAACTGTGAGCAAAACATGAGGGTACCATGTACCTGCAGTGCTGGGGGCTCCACTCACAGCACCAAGATCCTGAGCACCTGTGGACAAGAGCAGAAGATGAGGGTCTCCTCAGACATGCTCTGTGGAACACATGCAGTACTGGAGCCATAGCTACTCCAAATCCTTGTAGACCTGGTCACCACCACCACTGGCAATCCTCAGTATGGGGCCTCTGGTATCTGGAAAGCACATATCTAAGCACTTTCCATGCACATTAGGTCTAATTTTCCAAATGGAACTGGGAAAAAAGGTATCCTCATCTACATTTGACCTGTGGGAAGGTGGAGGCTCATTAGTGTGAAGGAATTTGTTGGTTTTCTGGACAGTAGCAGAGCTGGGTTTTGAACCCCAGTGTGACGGCTACTTTCCATTGTCAATTTGATAGGGCTGAGAGAGCCTAGGAGATTGTGAAGCGCACTTCTGGGTGTGTCTGTGAGGGACTCTCCAGAGAAGGTCAACCAAGGGAGTAAACGCTTCCTCAAATGTGAGTAGTACTATCCCATAGCCTGGGAGCCTGGATGGGATAAAAGGGGGGAAAGGAGAGAGCTCACAGCATATCTCTCTCTCTCTCTCTCTCTCTCTCTCGCCATGAAATGAACAGCTTTGCTTCACTATGTACTTCTGTTGCATTCCTTGTCAAATGAGACCTGAAGACCTAGAGCCAAGTGATGCCTAAAAAAATCCTGAAACCATGAGCCAAAATAAATCCTTCCTCCTTTAAGGCATTTTGTTTCAGATATCTGGTCATGGGTAATGAATACCCGGTGTGTCTGTTTCCAAAGCATAAACCTATAATTCTCCCCTCTACAATTTATCCTGTGACACCACATGAGCCTTTGAGTCAAGGGCTCAATAGACAGGACAACTCAAGGCAGAGCCTTCTTCATAAAGCAGTTCAGTTTGCGCATTCCATCAGACAGAAGTGGAAACAGTGCTGACGGGCTTCCGTGAGCAAGCTGATAATATATATAAGCTGCTTAGCACACTGTAAGGGTGACAGTGTTGTTATTTGACTATTATTAGCATTGTTAACACAGTTTAAGGATGAAAGTATAATTATTTGACTGCTGTTAATATTATAAGCAATGTGTAAAGTGAAAGGATGTTATTTAACTATCATTAACATTGTTGTAGCTTATTTCTCTAAGGCAAAAAGTGTTTTCTTTATTGGTAAGTGGTGGTGTTGGCGATTCTGGTGGAAATAAAAACATTGACAGTAATACAAACACATGTATTGGACTGATGAAGATTTGTAGAGTGGTTAAAAAGCTTCCCCTCCATTTCATCTCCCAAGTACCACAGCTAATTTTTGGAAAACACAGTCATTCACCAGAAAACAAAGCTACCTTTAAAGAGGGATTAGATCTTAAGACTTCACCTACAAGGGACTGAGTTATGGGTCTTTGAATATGTTAGAGGGATAGGTTGCTTGCTTTAGAATTAAATCCATCTAGTTTAATTCTAATTCTTGCCAGCAATAAACAAGTGATCTTGAGTGAAGTCATTAATCTCTCCAAGCTCTGATTTTTTCACCAAAAATGGATACGGTTGTGGAAGAATTAAGTGTATTGATGAATACAAGGGTTTAGCCTAGCCTCTAGCACATAAGCAGTCTACCGAAAATGGAGATACATTTCCACCCCACGGAACGACACATTAACTAGTGAGGGGTCGGTGGACCAAGGGAGCAAAGAAGCCCAGAGCAGTTGGCATTGGTGACACCAGGCATCCGTGGTTAACTGTCAGAACTTAACCAGCTGTCCTTGTCACCAGGATTCACCCACTTACCTCTCTTAGTGATGGGTCCTAAATCTAGAACCCTGGCTAGGTTGATGGCTGATCCAGCACTGCGGAGTCGACTTGCTGGACAAGACTGTGAAGGCAGAGAATGCTTGTTATATCAAAATTAAAATGCATGGTTCCTACATGTAGACTGTCGTGGCTATGGATACCGTGTCCTAGGCATCAGGCTTTCCCACCATTTTGCCTTCTTTTCAATACTGTGGTCTTTTCCACCTACAGAATTTACATATCTGTGTCTAACAGAGTGGCATTAATCTCTATTCTCTTTTGTATAATTGGAACAAATGTCTTTCTCTTCCCATGATGATTCAATAGAACATTTTTTCTTTCTTTCCTTCCTTCTCTTCCTTCCTTCCTTCCTTCCTTCCTTCCCTCCCTCCCTCCCTCTTTCTTTCCTTCCTTTCATGTGTATGGTGTATGCATGTGAGGAGGCCAAAGGTCGACATCAAGTGTCTTCCTCTACTATCCATCTTACTTTTTGACACATGGTTTCTCACTGAACCTAGAGCTTGTCATTTTGGCTAGGCTGCCAAACCAGCAAGTTCCCAGAATCCTTCTGTCTCTACTGTTCCTGTTTTGGGGCTACAGATGAATGTCATCATTCCTGGCTTTTTCATAGGTGCTAGAAATCTGAATGCAAGTCCTTAAGCTTGAGCAGCAAGCACTTTATCCACTGAACCATCTCCCCAGGCATGCAACCCTGGTTCTAAAGATTAAAATGAAGCATGTCAGCAACATATAGGCATATAGTAAGCAGCCAAGAAATGCTACCTATTCAGAGAAAATGGGGGTGAGAGCCTGCGCATTGGAATCACAACTCAGTTGGGGCACATGCCTCTTCCCTCCTCCCTCCTTTCCTCGCTCTCTTCTGTCCTCTGACTTCCCTCCCTTCTTTCCTCTTCCTTTCTTCTCTCCCTTTCCCGTTCTTCCTTCCTCCCTCCCTTCTTCCTCCTCCCTTTTCTCTCCCATCCTGCCTCCTTCCCCCCTCCCATCCTGTCTTTCTTCCCTCCCTTCCTCCTTCGTTCCTTCCCTCTCTCCCCCTTCCTTCCTTCCTTCCTTCCTTCTTTCCTCCTTCCTCCCTCCCTCCCTCCCTCCCTCTTTCTTTCCTTCCTTTCATGTGTATGGTGTATGCATGTGAGGAGGCCAAAGGTCGACATCAAGTGTCTTCCTCTACTATCCATCTTACTTTTTGACACATGGTTTCTCACTGAACCTAGAGCTTGTCATTTTGGCTAGGCTGCCAAACCAGCAAGTTCCCAGAATCCTTCTGTCTCTACTGTTCCTGTTTTGGGGCTACAGATGAATGTCATCATTCCTGGCTTTTTCATAGGTGCTAGAAATCTGAATGCAAGTCCTTAAGCTTGAGCAGCAAGCACTTTATCCACTGAACCATCTCCCCAGGCATGCAACCCTGGTTCTAAAGATTAAAATGAAGCATGTCAGCAACATATAGGCATATAGTAAGCAGCCAAGAAATGCTACCTATTCAGAGAAAATGGGGGTGAGAGCCTGCGCATTGGAATCACAACTCAGTTGGGGCACATCCCAGTTTTGATCCTGCCTAGCTGTGTGTGAGGCACGGCTAAAGGACCTCTCTGGACCTCAGTTTCCTTATCTGTATAAAGAAGACTACTTAAATGGTTGTTGTAAGAGTTAAATTAGATAAAGATGTGAAAGTTTTAGCATAGTCTTTGATACATTCCTTACTACAGGATGAACTATTCCCTTATCTGAAATGTGTAGCTCCAGAAGTATTTGAGATTTGGGAGTCTTCAAATTTTGGAGCATTCATACAGGTTTTACTAGTTGGTTATAATCTAAGAATCTGAAACTCAAAACATTCCAAAATCCAAAATGTTTTGAGCATCATCTTGGCCATCCAAAGCTTTAGGACTTTGGAACACTTTGGATTTAAGGTTTCTGTATCAGTGATGCTCAGACTATATTATTATAATCTGTCAAAATAGGTCTTATGCCAAGGAAAACTGATCAGCCTTGTGAAGAGACAATAATTGATCATAACTAGGCTTTGGAGGTATCTAGAGTCCATCCATTCATCCTTCCTCTTTACTCTTTCCTTCCCTGTCATCCATACACATACCCATCTTTCTACCTCTTTAGGCATCTATCCATCCATTCCATGAACCTCTCTCCCTCCTCCTCGCTCCCTCCCTCCTCCCTTTCTTCGACCTCTGCATTCACCCATCTTTCTTTCTATCTATCCCTCCATACATAACTCCTACTGTGCACCAGGCCTCATGCCAGGCTCCCAATAATCCAGTCCAAAGAGATACTCACCGGCTCACACTGCTCATTTAAGGGATCACACAGATAGACTTCACAATGCAGGTACACTAGGTCATAATTTCCAGCAAACATGAACATCTGTACTGAGAACCGACTTTCTGAGGACACCCCATTCTCCTCTACATGAATACTGGAATCTTGTGCATTTGGACAGCTGGGAGGATGAAAGGACAAGGGTGTGACCTCTGACCCAACACTGGAGGGTATTAAGAGTCTCTCTACCCCAGACTCCTTCCATCATGCTTCCATGAAGTGTTTCTAGTCCTCAGTGCTTCCTCCACAATCTCACGTTTTAAACTATTGGACACACAATTTCTGAGGTGAGAATGAAGCTTTCCAGTCTCAATTTCAGGTAAACCATCCAGGGCAGGTTAATTTAGCTTACTGGGCCTCTGTTTTCTTGATTGTTTTCTATCCATGAATCTTTTTAAAAATTTTTTTCTTTATTCTTGAGAATTTCACATATGCATACAATGAAATATGATCATATTTACCCTATGCTTCCCCCTCCAATTCATCCCAAAGTCCCCCTCATTAATGAAATAGAGGAAGTCATATCCACTTCATAGAGCTGATATGAGCACTTCATGAGACCACTGTATGTATTTGTTTGGTACAGTGTTCAGCACATGGCTAAGTTCAATGATAAATATTACCAAGTATCATTAATATGATTTGACCAACGTAAACATCTATCATAGCCCATTCTTATTTAATTGAGCTATATTTTTAACAGCAAATGTATAGGAAACGTTATCAAGAATAGTGAAATGGAAAGTTATTGTCGCTCCTTTACCCCACTCACCTAATTTGTCTTAATATTTTAGACTAAAATATCAGGAACAACTTTCCAGGATCAGAGAGTATTGGCTACAGTACATAATGCCAAATTATTTCCCAATGAAGCAACCAACTTATACAACTGCCAGGAACGAAAGAGATAAACATTGCCCTCAAAACTTAGTTAAGACCAACAGACACCACCTGAGTCCCCTGATACCTGTTGCTGATGATGAAGTACTTCACAGGGTCAGTTTTGTCTTCTGTGGGGGTGGCATAGCAGTTCCTCAGCAACAGCTTAAGCCTGGAGGCATCTCCTTCCTCTAAGATGGCACCCACATAGAGCATGGATTCCACTGGCAGCACTACTTGGTCCCCTTCATAGGGATGTGTGTAGGTCTGGTCTTGGAAGAGGGCCAACCTGATAGTGAACTCTCCCTCCCCGTCCACATCAATATTCAGGGAACTGGGACAAGGAAAACCACAAGAGTGGAGACATCAGGCATTGACCAGAGAAGACAACATAAACCAAGCAGTGCACTGCTATAACATTATAGAGGAAAAAAGTAATCTCTGGTCTTTAAATGAACTGTTCCATAATCCATTGAAATAGCACTTACTGGTGAGGCACTAAATCTGACAAGCAGTCAAGACCGTGTCTAAGATTTCCACCCGTTTTCCCTGTGCATCAGGTCTCATACATCTCTTACTCAAAGAATAAGGGTTAGTGAACAGCACCATCTTATCACCTGGACAACAGAGCTTGGGATCAGCTCCATTGGCTCACAAGTTTTAGCCTCATGTCTCCTCCCCCACCCCATAATCTTCAGCTAAATCCAATTTTAACAAGATAAATAAGTTTCATTTTTATTTTCTATGAACCAGGAGCCCCAACATGATATAGTCTGAAAACTTTTGAACTCCAAAATTTTGACTCCTTCTTGTTCTGTCATTCTGTGGGCCCAGGAAGTAATGAGGGGCTAGGCCAGGCACCCTGGATTTCTGAAAGCTTGGAAAATCCCCTGACAAGTCTAGGACACTTAAGATCTATTTCAATGGGCTCTTCTCCAAGCACAGACACTCAGTAATAAACAAAGCAGAGACAGAGATCTGCCTGGATCAAATTCTACTCAAACTAACATTTTGTTCTATGCCTGGTGGGAAGAGGGTGCTCTTTCTTCAAAGGTAGACTCAGCTTAAGTGTCAAGTTTTCAGTGAAATCTCCCTGCCCTCTTATAATCCCTACCCCACAAAAGTTAAGTCTGGGTGCCCTGTTCACTAATCAAAACAGAACAAAACAAAAACATCATTTCCTACATTGCATTCATCTGATTTGCAAATGATTGCTGATTATAATTATGATTATTGATATGGTTAGCTGTTTAATGCTTTTCTTCCTCACAGTGAATGAACTTATCTTGATTCTTTGGTTCCCAAGCACATGCTAAGCAGTGCTTCATGTTACAACATTGTTTCATGGTAGCAATCTTTAATAATTACATAATATTCACAAATACCTTGCTTATGCTGAGGGTTCTTAATTACAACCAACAAATGTTGACACAAAGAATAATTCAATGAGTGGAAGTTCCTAAAAGAGGTTAATAAACTGTGTGACCCATGTCAGAACTATTGGTCAAAAGGCAAGGATCAAAGCTTTACCTTACAATGGGTTGAAGTGCAGTTTGGAGGCTGATCTTCATGTCCAGTGGGTAGGTGCATTGGAAGTTGACATTAACAATAATGTCTCTGATAATGAAGTTGGTGACCAAGGAGAGAGTGTTGCTATAGATGGCGTGGGTTCCATTGTTCTTTGGCATAAAAATGAAACCACGTGTATTTATATGGATGTGTATAGGTATTTCTTGAACTCAGATCTGACTGATTCCAGAGTCAATATTCCCAGCCATGCCACTACCCTGAATTCTGACCTCAAGGGGGCAAAGGGGCCTCCTTTTCTTGTGGTGTTGACACTTTATGGGAAGCCCAGAGTAAAATCTAGGACAATAGGTGGTTGGCCTTTGGGAAGAGTCAGGGACCAACATCTTGCTCCTCTGTACATCTTCCCACACAATCCTTAATTAAGATAATCATAATTGGTGCTTAATTTATGAAGCTCAAATGTCAAACCTATCTAGGCTCTTTACACAGGCCAGTATGTGTAATCTCACAAAGGCCTAGAGGCCCAGAGAGGATAAATCACTTTGCTAAGATCTTACCACTACAAAGATCTAAATTCCACCCTCTAGTCACAGTGATTCAATCACTTACCTCTAGAATGTTTCCACAGTCACTAGCCACAACAGGGCTGGTCATAGACACCCAATTGTCAGGCTCATTTTGCATGATCCCACTGCAGTTCTGGTCGCTCAGGTAGGCAATAATCTCCTCCCCAAAACCTAGGCCTCCCAGCAAACACTTGTCCAGCTTCACCTTGATCTTATCAGGTCCACAGTCCAGCTGAGGCTGCAAACTCTGACTATCTGGAAGGCAAGAATGAAGTCAGTGGAGTGGACAAGGGACTGGAAGCAATAAGCAGCACCCTCATTCTCTGCCCCTTGGCAAAGTCACCATGCCCACCAAGAGGCCAGGTAGACGAGAGGAGTCCTGGGAACCCAAAAGTAGTTAGACTCAGACTGGTAAAGAGGTCTCTCATCCAAGATTTCCAAGCATCCCAGTTAGAGGCTTGGCTTAACTCCTCTTGGGGAAGCAAAGAGGACTTCATTCCAGACCAGATATCTACTACTTTGTGAAGCCAACTCATCTGGCCAGGTTCGAAGCCATGACAAGCCTCCTTTTATTCATTTCAGCATGTATTCAACAAATACTTCTTGAGCATCTACCATTTGCGTCTTGACTCAGTAGTCCCCATGTACCTGACTCTGTAGATATCTAAATGCACCTCCCATGTTTGCAGAGTTCAGTTCCTTTGTCACTCATCAGTCAAGACTGCCCATTCTAGACCCACTTGTTGAAATAGTGGTCCAGCAGATGGCATGGACCTTCTCACCCTTGAAAGCCCACTGGCTTTATAGCAAGTGGACCAAAGAAATCTCAAGATTCCCTCAACCTCAGTTCCATGGCCACTGACTCTGATCCACACTTTATTCCAACCCTCTAATTCTCCCTCCTCCAGCTCTGCCTACTCAGCCCCAGGAACTTCTCACCAGATGCATTGAGGTCCTTCCTGCAGACACAGATATCATTGTCGTCTTGAACTACACACTCCTCCTCAGGTCGGCAAGTTGCCTTACAAGTAAAGGGCTCTAGAGGAAGGAGGCAGAGGAAGGGGATCAGAATCCAGAGTAGGTAGATTTGAGTCCTCACAAATCAACTGTCTCTTTGCATCAGTGTCTTTACAAGGGTGTGAGATACCAGAAAAATCAAACTTCAAAATCATATTTCCTGAGTCTCAAACCCAGTGAAGTGAGTGACAGATCTAAAGCTATCATTGGGATGCTTCAAACAGACCAAGTACCATCCCAACAACTTTCTGTGCTTTGGTGAATTTGACCCAAACGGTAGCAATTTGTAGCAGGGCAGAGTGATTTTAAGTCCATAGTTACTAGTGCTAGTGTGCCTGCATTCAAATCCCAGCCCTACTATATTTCATGTCTGTGATAAAGGGAGAATGACTTAACTTCTCTATGCTCCAGACCCTAATTTGGATGATTATATAGACTATTTCATGGACCGAGTCAGAGAATTCATTAATATATTTAAAGCACTTAGAATGGTAGTAGATATATTGTGAGCACCATGAATTAACTGTTATTTTTACTGTTACCCATTTGTTTCAGATGAGAAAATAGTTTCTAAGGGGTACATGAAACCATCCAAACCAAAGTGACATTTGAATGAGCCTGAGTTCTTGATATTGTGTGTATGTGTGCGGGGGGGAAGTATACACATTCACGTTTGTGTTTGAGTGCCCTTATGTGCTCAGAAGCCAGAGGAGGACACTGGGTGTCCTGTTCTATGAGTCTCCACCTAATTCCCTTTGGAGAAGATCTCTCATTGAAACTGGAGTTAGGCTGGTAGCCAGCAAGTCCCAGCAATCCTTCTGGGGATTTGACCTCAGGTTCTCATGTTTGTGCAGCGAGTGTTCTTACCCACTGAGCCATCTAACCAGCCTGATAGTATGCAACATGCATTTATAAGTTAGGAGATCTCACTCTCAAATTTGAATTTCTGGCTTTACTTAAAGGGCCCAACAGCCCTCACATTAGAATCCCATATGTATTTCCAGCAGGATCCCAGTGGAGGCTACTTTGCTCATTCTCTTTTTGACCAATTCTCCTGGCTCTACTGAGTCCTGGGTATTAAGGGTCACCCTGCCCTTTAGCTGCTGCTCACCTGTGCAATATCTCAGTTCGCATTCAGGGGTGCCCTGCAACCGGTAAACATAGTATTTGTCAGGACAGGCCTTCACTTGGACCTCAGAATTCCAAAGGCAGCAATTTTCACTCCAGTGGGCACAGGCTTTGCGGCTAACAATGCCATCTCCAAGGACAGGGTGAGACCCATTCAACCACATGGGGGCAGAGGTATGGCACCGTTGTACTGCCACACAGGTCTCTGGGATCCTTTCTCCTCCTTCACCCACAAAGCGGTACCAGCCATCCAGATTATAGTCACATTCTGTCCCTATTGCTGTGTTCTGTGTGCTTCGGGTGGGATCGTCCAGGAGGATGTAATTTTGGCAGGGGTCAAAACAGATGTCGGCCTCTGGGGTATCAGGGGCTCCACATTCCAAGTCCTGCCTGTTAGAGCCAACTGCTCTGGAGTTTCCGTAACCTGAGAAAGAATGGAGAGTACTTGGGCTTAGTGAGCAGCTTCAGGGTTTTTATCCCTATACTCTGCTTTGAATGCTCTAAGGATCCCAGTGAGACCAACAGGTACACAGCCTAGAAATCAAACATCAAGTTTTGTCATTCAGGGAGCAGAATGACCAACAGGCACTTTTCCTGTTATTTTATATGCAGCAAGGACATTGAGGCCACCACTTTGCATCCCCATTGTCCAGCAAAGAATTACAAAGAGCTTCCCTGTGGGCCACACGCCAAAGACCCACTATACCGATGTTTGTTTTTCTCATACATGTAATACGGGCTCCCTGGGAAACCCCAGACATCATTAAAATGAATTAAGTGGAAATAAAAGTTGTCACAGTGCTTAATTTGGCTGAAAGCATTCTAAGATGAGAATTGTCCCAAGTTGGTCCTACCTCCAGAAGTAATAATAAATTTGTTGTACAGCCTTTAGAATTTTCCAATGTACACACACACACACACACACACACACACACACACACACACAGAGAGTCATTTAGTAAACATTAGTGTTGCCCAACTTTTTTTTCCATTTGCATTTTTTGACTTGATATTAACATCAACACTTTTCCCTGTCAGTAAATAACAGCATAGGCTACTATCAGCAGATGGGCCATCTAACATAAGATTTCTCAAGGTTGGCAATGGTGCTATTGATTGGATTATCTTTATTGTGGAACTGTCTTCAAAACAGAATCATGCAGCTGGAGAGATGACTCAGTAATTAAGAGCACTGGCTGCTCTTGCAGAGGACCCCAATTTGGTTCCCAACATCCATCTGTAACTCCAGTTCTAGGGAACCTGATGCCTTCTTCTGCTGTCCTCAGGTATTGCATGACATGGGTACACTTACATACATGCAAGCAAAATACTCATACACATTAAATAAAAATAAATTTAGAATAGAATCATAAAATGTTTAATAGAATCTTTGGCTTTTGGCTCATGCCACTGGCTCTTTCTGAAGTTGTCTTGGATATCTCCAAATGGTCCCTAGAAGGCAAAATCACCTCCATTGAGAACCACTGACCTAACATCATATTTGATCTACTTTTTAGGGGCTGTGATATATAAAGAGACAGAGAAATGATGAAGGGGGATAATCAGATGCTGGACCAGGGGATTTAAATACGGCTCTCATCTTCTGACTGGTGGCATTGACAGGTGATTTAGCTCTTCTGAGACCACCTCTGAGAACTAGAAGTTCTTAAACTCCCTTAACCACACCTTGGGCCATACTGTTTATGTACCTATGATTCTCTATGCTGTTATTAGCCTACAGAGTTTCTTTCAATTATTATCTTTAAAAATGCATCATATATTGGGGCTGAAGAGAGTTTGGTTGCCTTGCAATAGTACCTGAGCTCAGTCCCTAGAGAACACACTTTTAAGAGCTGGGCATAGTTTCCAATGCTTATCACCCCAGTGCTGGGGAGGTAGAAATAGGCCCATTCTTGGGAGTCACTGGGCCAGCCTAACCTATGGTGAACTCTAGTCAAAAATGAGAAATCTTGTCTCAAAAAAACAAGGTGGAAGGGACTACCCAAGGAATGACATTTGAAGTTGTTTTCTGGCCTCCACAAGTGTTTGTGAGTGTATACACACACACGCACGCGCACACGCGCACACACACACACTAAATAAATAAATAGAAATTAGTTTTTCATCTAAAAGAATAATATCTGTGATAACATAGATATGGTGTAATTGTTATATTATTTGATATGCATGAAAAGAAACATGCAGCCATTAAAAACGTTTAAAGAATTTCTCAGGCACCTCTGGGGTCATTCTGGGATAGTTTGCTCCATTTGGTAGATGAAGCCTTAAAGAGGGTTAAATGAGATGATTTGTGCAAGATACAAAGTACAGTGCTGGGGTCCATCCAGTTGTTGTCCCTAGTGCTGAGTAGTTGAATACTTTGTATGTCTGAACGATGAATTAAGCACACCCATGGTATTGCAATTTTACGGACGTCAGTGAGGCTTTAAAAAGAACATTTTCCACCTTTGCTCACACAAGTGTTTGCTTTAAGAAAAGGAGTTGCTGTCCTTGTTATTCTTGGATCATTTCCCATGTACCCTGTGCTTTCCCATGGGAGCTGTGAGCTGAGCTCTCCTCCCAACCTCCCTCCACAGGACTCATATTTGCACCCTAGGGAGCTGTGAGCTGAGCGCTCCTCCCAACCTTCCTCCATAGGATTCACATTTGTACCCTAATCCTGAGCTTGAGAACCCATTTCTAAAAGTGTCTAAGTTGCCCTCATTCACAGATCTTTGGACCTGGGCATGGTGATACATACTTTTAACTCCAGCATTCCAGAGGCTGAGACAGGAGAGTCGAACACCAACCTGGACTACAAGGTTCTCTCTCTTCCTCTCTCTCTCTCTCTCTCTCTCTCTCTCTCTCTCTCTCTCTCTCAAAACAAACTTATATATCTTTTGTACCTGAACAACATGAATGTATTCTCTCTCTCTCTCTCTCTCTCTCTCTCTCTCTCTCTCTCTCTCTCTCTCAAAACAAACTATGCAATACAAGCCTAGATCTTTGGAAGATAGATGATTAAATCTAATACTTTTATCTTTACAGATGAGCAACTTGATAGAGCAAAAGGAAAAGCAAGGCGACTAGATAATCGCCCTCTTGTCTCTTCCAATCCGCACTCTCTGGCTACCTCTTGATATGAACTGCGGAAGTTACCTTGAGTGGCTCCCCCTACCCTTTCGGGCTCTAAGAGACTGACTCCCTTTCTCTCACCATGTCCCTTTGGCCTCCAGCTCTGAATCTTTGTTTTCAACCCCCTGTTCCTTCCACTGACCTGAACACAGCCTTTGCTGCATCGCCTCCCCACCCACTACTCACTTCCCAGGTCTTGCCAAGCATCTTAGATTCTAGAACACTCACCTGGTTGTACTGTAGATGTAGATGCCAGGGTCAGAATGTAGATGCAGGAGGCCACAGCCAGCCCCAGGAGGTCACAGCCTACCATCTTTTCCGTAAAGTGAGACACACAGGTCACTCTGCAGAGTGTAGACTCTCCATACAACTGTAGAAAAGGAAAAGCTCACCTAACATCAGTACAACAACCTTCGTGCCCAATGGCAAAACTAATACTTATATTAGTTCAGTACCCACCATGTAACTCTATTTGTATTAAGCCCCTTTCATACTTTATTTCACTTGTCTCTGAATCATCCCACAGGGATGATACTATTATTGTTCCCATTTTTCAGATGAAGAAGTTGAGATTCAAGAGCACCTTAATCCACGCAATATCTATCAAGCTGCTTCTCTATGGAATCATGGTTCTGGAAGTTACATAACTCACTTAGGGCCAATAGATCCAGGCTCTCAGGACCAGAACTGACTTCCTTCATGAAGAGCTACATTGTTTCAAAGCAGGCATGACTTGCAGAAATTGAGTGGAATAATAGGAGTAGAGATTTAACTAAGGAGATGAAATGGAAAGCAAGGGAACCAAACGTGTCTCAGGCCTGCAGAATGTCCTAGAAGGGTCTTTGGACGGTATCTGCTCAGGTGGAGTAGACAGCACTGGCTGACTACCTTAGTTGGATGCAGCAGGAGCTACTAAGATCCTCTGGGGGTTTCCATGAGAGTAAGACAATGTCAGATCGACCCTGAGCCCCCTGCTCCCAGCACAGAATTGGCACATATGGGCTTCCCATGAAAGAATTATATGACGAATTAAATAAGTAAGTAAGTAAATAAGTAAGTAAATAATAAATAAATGAGAAAAAAAGCCTTCCAACTCTCAGGTGATATTTATTCTCCTTTGCCCTGAAAGGACACCACTGGGTTACTTCTGAAAGACATTAGTTAAAAACAGAATCCTGTTTCTAGCCAGGTATCATGAATACATGAGACAGCAGAGACACAGCAGTGCCCAGAACTGTGATTTTGGAGGTGCCATCCTATATGGACACACATGTGTTTCAGATGGGAAGATCAAGGTGACCTCTCTAGGCTTGACACAGTCAGAAGATGGCTGGGACCACAAGCTGGATATAGAGTGACTTGGGGAGTCTTTGACAATGGCAAAGGTCTAGATTTATTGCTGGGTTCTCACAGTTTACAGAAACAAATGACCCTAGCAAGTCCAGTGGGCAAAGACGGTGAAACTCACCCCCTCCCCAGGTTTAGGAGAAAGCTCACTGGGGCTTGGTGGAGGACTTACCTTGGGGAGGAAAACTGGAAGTCTTTTTCCTCTTCAACTAAAGCGTGGGAATGCAGCCTGCTGTGGGCTTTTTATTGGAATTTCCCACCCATGTGGCTCCTTATGATTGGTGCTGAGGCAGGACTAGAGCTAAGTTCCCCAGCCATACACTGGGGCTTTGGGCTTGATGGATGTAGGCAAGATAAGCCGTTTACTGTAAAGGGCGGTGAAAGAAATGCCATTGCCCCTCCCCACGCATCACCACAGCGCAAACTGTTCTAGAAGTCAATCCTTCACACCAATGCTTCTCTATAAACAATTACAATATGTACTGAAGTTTGAATACACCAGGGAACTGTCAATACCTTGCAACCATTACTTCTCACATCTAATCCTCCAATAAACTGACAAAGCTGGTGCCATGTTTATTCCCACAAGCCAAACACTAATGAGAAGGACTCAAAATACCCGAAGGAAAGTAGAGAAATCAAACAGGCAGTTGTTTGCACAATAGATTTCCAATGTACCTTATGTTCCTAGATAATTACCATAGAGCACGTCTACTTGATTAGCCTGGGGCCAGGAGTGTGGGGGAATGAAGGAAGGGGAGGTGAGAGCTTCCCATTCTTGGCCCACAGAGTCTACCCAACTTCAAATGAGGTATCTGGGGATGGTGAATTGTAGATTGGAAAGGTATCCATAAGTCACTTGGACAAAGCAAGCCTAAACATAGCCACTCCTTGGACAGATGGCAAAACCTGGAAGGCACAGAGCTGGGGAAAGGCTGTAGAAGTTCTGGGACCTGGCTTCCATAGCATGGTTGAAATCACAGAGTTAGAAAAGAACCAATGCTTTTGCAGAAAAATGACTCTTCCGTTTCTCTGGAGCTCTTTGAGGAGCCAAGACTACTTGGGTAACAAAGGCAGAAGGACTTGACCTTGGTAATGATTTGCAGCAAAAGGAAAAGTTGAAGATGTCACAGGCCACCTCTTCTAGTCTTGGTGCATTTGAGAGAATATCCCATCAGTAGAGTGAACTGGACTCATGGTATAGTCCATTGCTCCATGCCACTTGATGCGGTCTCCCCAAGGTTGCCTCAAGGAGACCAACTTTCTCCATCCTTAAAAAGCTGCCCCTCTTCCCACCATTCTTGGAAAGTACCTGTGTCTTGCTCAAGAAAATGAAGGCCACAGCACCTTACCTTTCTCTTTCCCCTGGTCTCCACCCCGTCCTGCTACCCAGCTTCTGATGAAGTGACTTCTCCTTCCTTTTCTTCCCTTTCTCTTCCCTCTCTGCCCTTTCCCTTCCTCTTCTCTTTCCTTCCTCACTATGTCCTTTCCTGCCTTTCCCTATTTGTAATATTTAATTTGACAGATGAAATTTTGATCATGTTCAATATGTTTTGAAGTTTACATGCACTGTGGGTGAGTAAATATAGCTGATTAACAAATTCATTACTTCATACACTTAACTCTGTTTTGGTAATGAGAACCTATAAAATTCACTCTCCTCACAGTTTTCAAGAATGTAACACATTGTCATTAACTATAGTCCCTATGACATACAACAGAGCTCTTCAGATCTCCTTCTGCCTCCCTCTAAAGCCCCATCCTTTAATTTACAACGAGATTGGTTTTACTTCACCCTAGTTAGAATGGCCATTACCAAAAAGAAAAGAAAGAAATCAATAGAGCTGAGAATGGAGGAAGGGAACCTTTTCATAATGTTGGTGGGAATGTAAATTAGCACAGTTATTATGGAAAACAGTATAGAGGCTCCTCCAAAAAGTAAAAATAGAGCTATCATCTGATCATGCAATCCCACTTCTGGGTATGTATTCAAAGGATATGAGGTCAGTATATTTAAGAGGTATCTTCATGCCTGTGTTTATTGCTCATTTCTTCATAGTAGCTAAGATATGGAAGCAACCCAAGTGCTTATCAACAGATGAATAGATAAAGAAGAATGTGGTGTGTGTGTGTGTGTGTGTGTGTGTGTGTAAAATGGAACACCATTTGTCCTTTAAAAAGAAACAAATACTTTAATTTGAAGCACCGTGAATGAACTAGGCCATAATGAGAAAAACATGGCCCACATTATCTCACTCATGTATATAATTTAAAATGTTGATCTCATACAAGCAGAGAGTAGAATGGTGGTTCTCAGATGGGAGTTGGGGTGAGGAGGTGTGGGTCAAAACGTTCTCCTTAGCCATGCATGCTGGCACATGCCTTTAATCCCAGGATTTAGGAAGCAGAGGCAGGCAGATTTCTATGAGATCAAGGCCAGCCTGGTCTACATAGTGAGTTCCAGGCCACCTGGGGATATAGGGAGAGCCTGTCTCAAAAAACAAAACAAAACAAAACAAAAACTCCTCTTTGCCAAAGTCAGTCCCCTATTTCTTCTCTGATGCTTGCATTCCAATATGACCCATTTTAAAACCTCCCTTTTAAGTCTGCTCAGTGTCAAGTATACTGGGCATCTTTTCCTGTCCCTTTACTACTGGACGGTTTGCTGCTCCCTCTAGGTACCCCAGATTTCCATAACTCCCCTGTAACTGTCTCTTATTGACCAATGCCTATTTAGACATTCCCTGTATCACTAAGAACCTTCCTCCTCCAGCTGTTAGTAAAAATGCCAATAGTGCCATTTTTCTTCTTATGCCATATATTCTCCCTAGGAGGTTTCAAATAATCCCATGGTGTACACATTACTTTTGCACTACTGTAACCAAAATATTTGCCAAAACCCTCCAAAAAACTTAAGAGTTGGCTCAGTTGGCAAAATGCTTGCTGTGGAAGATAAAGACCTGAGTTTAGATCCCCAGCATCCACATAAAAAGCTGAACATGGTGATACTTGCCTGTAATTCTAGCACTGGAGAACCAAACAGGGGGCTCTCTGGGACTCAGTGGCCAGATAGTCTTGCTAAATCAATGAACTCAAGGTTCAGTGAGAAACTCTGTCTCAAACACTGAAGTGGAAAGCAAATAGAGGAAGACACCTAACATGGGCCTCTGGTCTCTGCGTGCATATGCATGTGTGCACATACATGAACATGTACACATGCACACCACACACACATACACATACACACACACACACACACACACACACACACCCTTAGGGAGGTTTATTTTGGCTCACAGGTTTAGAGGGCTTTAGTCTACCATGGTGGAGAACATAGTGCAGCAGTTTAGTTCTTGGCAGTGGGAGTGTGTGGCAGTGGCTGCTCACATCATGGAAGACCAGGAAGCAGAGAGCAGGACAGGAATTGGGTCAGGTTTAGCCAAAGGTTTGCCCCACTGTGATCTACTTCTGCCAACTACATCCACCTCTTAAGAAATTCCATAGCTTCCCCAAATAATGCCACAAGCTGGGAAGCAAGTGTTGGAAATGGGCCTGTGAGGGATATTTCAGATTCAAACCATGACACATAATTCAAATTCATCCACGGGCTGCCAAGTCCCCCATTCAGATGGCTCTCCTGGGCTTCAGTTCCACACCCCAGGGCCTGCTGGACTTCTCCACTTGGGCTCAGATACTTAAGGTCCTTCAAACCCAGTAACTTCCAATCTGAACTCATCATCTCTGCTAACTGTCCTCCCACCATCTGCCTCTTTCATCTGCCTAAGTCAAAGACACCACTATTCACCAGGTACTCAAGCTGGGAACTCAACTCTTTATTTTCAAAGTACTTTCCTTTCTTCCTCAGCTCTCATTTCCAGTAAGCACCATATCTTGCCTTTCTGCATTTAAAATACCTCTCAACTCTATCCCTCCTCTGTTTCCACTTTACCAATCCAAATCAGGTCACCATCGTACAGGAGGGTGATTTCAGTAGCAGATTATGGGTCTCTGCTGTCACGGTCCCATCTCTATACCTCAACCTCTATTCCCAGGACTCCGTGCTCCCTGGGATGGGGCCCCTGTTCTTACTTCATACTTCCTCTCTAACATCACTGTACAGTTTCTGCTTCAGCCAATGCACAAGTCTCTGAATTCTCCCTCATCTCCAAATGCCTGCATGATCTTTTCTACTTGCCTAGATCCCTCTATCCTTCTCAGTCTTTTCCCATTTACCTCCTTTTCCAGGAAGCCCTCCCTAACTCAACATGCTGGCTCATTCTCTCTTCCATCACTAGGCCTCTCCAGGATAACCTAACCACATTAAATTGTCTAATAACTAATCTGTATATCAGGACTATAGGAACTTTATGGACAGCAATTTTGATCTCTGTATTTTCACCAGTACTGAGAAAGTATTTGTTAAGTAAATAAATAGATAAAACCATAATATGTATACTCCAAGTCCTCTCCAGTGAGTAATGCTTCAAACCTATGGTGGTTCAAGTGTAGGTCAACTGTGGTGGAAAGACACAAGTTACTGCCTCAGGGCCTTTGAATTTGCTATTCTGGCTGCCTGTCTCATTCTTGTCCAGTTATCTCCCAGTGGTTGGTTCACTCCTTTTGTTCTGTTAGTCTCTGCTTCTCAGAGAAACTGTACCTATCATCTTACCTAAAGCAGGACTCCCATTACAATATCATTTGTACACACGAGCCCACAGCACTTGTGATAGCATGCACAAGACCTGTGCAAAGCCCAAGCCACACAAAAACTCAGCATGGATGGTGGAAGTGGGCAAGAAGCTCCAGCTCTAGCTGAGGGTCTATTGGAAATTGATAGCTGCTGGGAGAGGGAGAGTGAGCTTTCTTTAAGGCTGTAACACTTGGTAGGTTGACCAGACTCTAAGGGATGGGCCCGTATTTAAGAGCATTTGGGGGACACAAATTAGATTTGATAGTCTTGTAAAAAAAAAAAAAAAAGAAGAAGAAGAAAAAGAAAAAAGGATAATAGAGGTCACAAAGTCAGGGGTTAGTAGGATAGTGGTGGGGATGCGGACAGGATCTGAAGATGATAAAAGTCCATGGTATGAATTCTCAAAGAATCAATAAAAATATTTTTTTAAGAATTACAAAAAAAAACAAAATGTAAAACACTTAAAAAAGATATAAGATAGCTGTTAAATTTGAACTAAAATAAACAATGTGCTTTTAAGAACGAAAAAGACAAGGAAGAAAGGGGCAAAGAATTCATTCCAATGTGCCCTACCTCCTTGTTTGTTTTAGACCTTTGTTTTTAGTGTGGGCCCAGACCTTCTCCTTAAGTCCTGCTGTTCCAGAATCACAGTACAGATGAGTCAGCATGGGGTTACCTGCTGACCATAGACTGACCATGAACAGGGCTGGATCAGCCTGTGGTCCTCCTACACAGAGCCCTTATGTGATGGCAACAGGCCTGTACATTTTGTGCATGTTTATGAGTGATAAGAGAGCCTTTCTTGAAAGCCACACTGTCTTAGCTGCCCTTGCTGCAGAGGCACACATGGGATTTTCCCTGGGATCTGATGAGAGGCCTTGGCCTCCCCTGGAAAGCCCCAGCTGGAGTCCAGACAAGCAGCTGGGTCAGAGCAGAGAGTTCCCATTGGCACTGGCAACCTACTTTCCGGAGACCTTTGGGATCTCCAGACTCCTGGGCGTAACTACTACTTGGTTTCTGTTCATATATCCTGGAGGGTCCCTTGTAAAGACTTGATAGGGGGCAGGAGGGGTCTGCTCTCCACTGCTGTTCCAACCCAAGACACAGGCCTACAACTCTGGGATTGGGATGAGAAGCCCAGTGAGCAGAGGGAGTCCTAGATATGTGCCAGGCACCTGCTAGAGTTCCCACACCCCTTCTTTAAAAACTGAGGTTACTGAAGGCAGGGGCTAGGTCTGTCTCATCCACCAGTGTTTCTTAGCACTGAGTGTAGGTCAAACACACGTAAACTCCTCATTTCTGGAAAACCAAATACATTCTGCAGGACATCATGATTACCTCCACTACAGAGAAGCCATCACCATCTGTAAAACCATCCATTTCTGAAGTGCCTGGCCACCTTTGGCATTGCATGTTCAAGTTCTTTTCTCTCCTGCCAGATGTTAATGTCCAGGGCAGGGGTTGTGCGTGCTTTGCTCACTGCCTGTGCTCACTGCTATGTCCCCACATCTAGCTAATCATTGGCACATAGTAGCAGTTCAGCGAATACTTATTAAGTGAATGAACGGATACACGAAGGGATGGATAGATGAAGTTCAGAGAAATTATATGTCTTATCTAAGGTCATATAACAGAACCTTTATTGAGGCCAGTGTCTCTGAGCAGGCTGTGAAGTCCATGTAGACAGAACAGTGTCTGTTCATTTCCACCATATGATCCTCAGAACCACAGACAGTGTCCACAGCTACAAGATGTTCAATAAAGATCTGAATGGATGAGTGGCTCAAAAACTGATGTTTTGAATTATTATTTTGCCACACTCTTCCAGGAGACAGGGGTCTCCTGTACAGATACATCACAAGTCCCATTCGGGGAGCAAGCAGCATTGAAAGAGACAGATTTAGTTTTGACAGTAAAGATTAAAGGGCAGAGAATTAGAGCAAGCTGAGGCAGTGCACAAAGCTAAGGTGGTACACATTCTCTCTCCTGTGGCCGGAGCAAAGGCCTGCATTTCCCCTCCTGGCCGGTAGGAAGTGAGCTAAGAACCGCAGAGTGCAGGATTGCCCTGCTGTCCATCACTGAAATGTCAGGGTCAAAGTGGCTGAGAGAAACAGAGACAGCCAGATCTTCAGGAACCCTAAAAGGGAAACAATTATAGGGTCACCGAGAGCCCTGGTGTGCTTTTGTACAAAGTAACATAAGACACTTCCCGTAGATTAACCAGTCATGAAGGGAAATTCTCTTGTTCCGGTCAGTTTGAAAGAGGTGTCTGTTCTGAGTGGAAAAGAAGGAAGAGTCCCTCCTTTATTGACTAATTTGAAAAAGGCAAAAATGTCTCCTCTGCACTGTACTTTGAATTTCCCCAATAGGGTACCCTTGTGCAGTGTCTAACATACCCAGCTATCCTTAGAGACCCCAGAGGCTGTTCATAGAGGGCAAGCCTTGATTTTCCTGCTTTGAGCTCACCAGTGCAAGACTCAAGTCAAACACCAGTTTGGTGTAACAGTCCTCTTGGATCCGGGTTCCACAAGCCAAGAAAGGTAATGGTTGTATGGGTTCAATTTTCATCTGGATTTTCAAGCAATGCAGTAAGCATAAAATCCAAAGGCCATAAAAATGACACCAGTTCCTGGCCTTTGTGATCTGAGACTCAAAAAAGCTTTGAAATGGGGTTTCTTATTTGTCCCTTGGCAACACTAATCATGGTTCTTGGCAAATAGCAGCCCTCAACAAATATTTGTCATCGGTTGAGCAGATCCTGAAGAAGGTATTGGAGATGAGCCTCAGAGCTTCAGGAAGTGCCAGGAGAAGGGCGGATGTACATGTCCTTGGGGCACAGGTTTGTAATGAATATGTGGACATCTAAGTATCAAACATACATATGTACAATTGCAGGTGTGTGTACATCTGCATGTGCAGATGGGAGCAGGTATGATCTTTGTGTGCAGATACAAATGTGTCCGATCTGTGTGTGTAGATATCAACATGTATAATCTATGTATAAATATGAATTGTGTGGTCTGTTGGTGCAGAGAGGAGTATATTCATGCAAACATGCCTGGACATTGCATCATCTCATGCTGGCTGAGCATGCATGTAGTCTTGCACACTATTGTGAGAGAGCGCACATGTGTGTAAGTGCAGCCTAAGTCTCTTAGGAGTTAGGCCCTCCAACCCACCCAGAGCCCCAGGTAGAAGCCGCAGAGGAGAGCTGAAGAGCAGGTGCCTGTGCAGAAAGGACCTGAACTTACCCAAGCTACCAGAAGCAGCCTTGGACACTGAGGCCTGGATACCTTTGGAGGAAACAGAAAGATCCGTGGGAAGTGAGACATGTGGATGGCAAGAAGGTTGAGTCAAAGTGCCTCCACCTGCTCTGCTTGCAGCTGGGGTCATTTTTCTATTGACATCAGAAGAAAGGCTTGCAACCTTACCAAAAACTATGAAGGCCCGCATAGGCTGGCCTCTGCTGTACAAGCTCATCCCACACCACTGACTTGGTTCCCTCTTCTCCCATCACCCAAACTGGGCCTGGTTCCTTGCTTAGAACAGCTCAGAGCTCTGTGTGCATTATCTTCTTCATTGAATTTAAGATACCTGCAGTTATATACATCTACATGATATTGTTTTTTAATATTTTATTTTTTTATTTTTATGTGTATGAGTGCATTGCCTGCATGTGTATAAGTGCACCTGAATAGGGCAGTGCCCACAGAGGTCAGAAGGGGTTGGATTCCCCTGGAACTGGAGTTACAGATGGTTGTTAGCCACCATGTGGGTGCTAGGAATTGAATCCAGGTCCTCTGCAAGAGCAGTCAGTGCTCTGAACAACTGAGCCATCTCTCCAGCTCCTAAACGGCATTATTTGAATGTTTCTCCCACTGATCCATAAGCTCCATATCACCAGGATCTATTTTGCTTGTCATAAGATACACAGCCACTAGTTTGAGGTTGGGCACACAGTAGGCACCAAAACATCCCTGTTCAATGAACGAATCAAGTCACTGGAACTGGTAGAAGAAGAAGGCAGCTGATATTGTACCCTGCCCTAACGTATCCACTCTTCAGTTCCAAGAAAGACCTACGACACCAGGCCCTGTCTCCTCTCTTTTTCCTCAGCCAAAAATGTAATGGAGGAGTGGATCGCTCACCTTGCCGAGTGATGGGTCCCAAATTCAGGACACGAGACTGGTTTATGAAGCCTCCACTTCGAAGTCTGGTCCCAGAACAGGTCTGCAGGAGAAGGATGGCGAAGAAAACATTTTATCCACGGGCTGTGGAAGGAAGTCAGGACGTGATCCCAGCATGGGAAGTGGGCAGCCAGCTCAGAAAAGTATCCTCCTGCCTCATACAGGAAATGGGAGATCACATTCCAGCTCTAACCTCTGCTATGATCATGTCACTTTAACTCTGAGTTCCTCTTCCCATTGAGAAAATGAATTAGCAATACCTTTCTCCTAGAATGTGAAGCATGAACAAACTGAAAAGCCTGAGCTGTGCACAGCGCTGAAGGACGTCAGCTCCTGTTATTAGGAGATAAACTTGCAGCTTGTAGATAAGGTCAGTTTATCAGCCAGGCCTGCTGAGATCACTAGCCCCTCCTGATTTCCATGTAGCTCAAGTGTCCTGCCTGGCCCAGCCCACACCATCTTACAGCTCTGTGTCCCTGGTGACCAAATGTCTTGGTAATGGAGATGGGCAAGCAGGCAGGATGCTGAGGGTGGGGGTGCAACTCACAGGCTTGCACTTCTCGTTCATAGAATCGCACAGGTGCACCTCGCAGTGCAGGTAGACCAGGTCATAATTTCCCGCAAACCGGAACATCTGGACAGAGAAACGGCCCTGCGGGGACTCTCCATTCTCCACCACCTGAATGGTTGGGTCTTCTGTGTGTGGACATCTGAGTGGGGGACATTAAGACATATAATTGGGTTGGTTAAACAAAGACTCTAGAGCTCAACTTCCTGGATTTAAATACGGCTTCTCTATTCATTAGCTGTATGACTTTGAGAAGCTTATTAGCTCTCTCTGTGCCTCAATTTCTTCATTTACAGATGGGGGTAATAATTGTAACCTGTGTCAAAAAATAATTGCAAGAATTAACTTAGCTATTTTTTCAAAATGCTTAGAACAGGGTATGATACATGGTAGGTGCTGCATGTATCTGAAGCTAAAACAAACAAACAAAAGTCCTCAATGTAGAGTTTGAATAATCCAGAAGTCAGAAAATTTTCATTTCCCAGGAAATGCATTCAAGAATCATGCACTGTTGAATATATTCCTACTATATTAGCAGGAACCTGCAAGCCCTGTCTGCCACTGAGCCACGTGAAACGTGCGCCCATCCACACGAGTACAATGACATCCAAACACAGCTGCTGAGAGGAACACAATGGCATGCAGAAGCTCAGGTGTGCCTGGCTGGACCAGGACACAGGGGAGTTCTGGGAAGGTGAAATGGGAACCCCCTGTCCCGTTTCACATGTCTGCTCAAAGATGGTTCAGAAGAAAGAAGGAACATTCATTTCAAGAGCTGATAAAGGATCTCCTAGGAGTGAAATCCACTCTCTGCTAGTTACTCACTACAATTAATATCCAATCCTAGTGTTGCAAACTCTACTTGGCAAAGCAAAAGTCTTGAGATTAAGCAGTCACCCCTCCCAAAAGGCAGAGACATGTTCAACACAGCCCGTGATGGTCCCAACTGCTCAACTCCTTGGAGGATTGTCCTGGTGTCCCCTGTGGTCACCCTCAGGGTCCTCAACTTTCCTCTTTCTCTTTGCATATTTTGTGATGTTCTAACATTCTTCCAAGAGTCATGATGCTCAACCCAGCTCCCCATATGTTTCAGATGTAGGAATCACACATTTCTTCCTACTTCTTTTTCTAAAACTTTCTGAGTTTTCCATAACATATGTGCTATGAGTTTGTGCTTAGGAAAAAAAAGTTAAAAACCCCCTGCAAAGTAGATGGTACTTATCGCCATATGGCATATAAGAAAATGAAGATCCAGGTATGTGAGCTGACTTTCATCTCAGAACAAGGAAATGGCCGAACCAAAGATGGACCTCAGATCCTTGTGATGCTCTGTTCAAGATTATGTCAGCGTTTTCCAAGTTCCAGGTTTTTCCCTATAGTATTTAGATACCACCTTTATGAATGTTTCCCTGAATGTCCCAACGTCTATATTATTGTTTACTTAATCTTTTTCCTTATTTTCTTTTCATGATACATTTATTTTCTAGGAAATGTTTAGATCATTCAACACCACTTGTCATATAAGTAGAGCTTGATCACATGAATGAGGAAACAAATAGACACAGCATCATCAAAATCAGTCAGATCCCGTTAATGCCAAGAAGTCTAGAACAAACTTGTTTAATGAAAGGGATTTTGTAACTATGAGAGAAGTATGAACACCAGATGAGCCTCCAGCTGACAATTTCTTCTCTAGGCAGTCAGGTAGATTCTAAATGAACAGAACCCCAGGAATAGGTAAGTTAAGATTTTCAGGAATGCTTTATCTGACTGTGATATTAAGATTGCAAATGGTCCTCTTCCTCCCCACTTACCCACAGGCTATTTATCATTAACATACTGCATATTTCACTGTCATTTAATTGTTGGTCTTGCCTTCAGAATATAAGCTGTGTGAGTACTAAGAAGGTTTCGTGTTTTCTAGTCACTGTGATACTCAGAGCCTGGCACAGAGCAGGCTTTCAAAATATCTGTTCAGTTTATTGACTGTCTCTGAAGAACAGATAGCACACCTGTGTCCTCCCAGTTTCCAACGGTTCTTGGCTAACTATGCCCATCCTTCACTCTTCCAAGCCAGGTGCCAGACTGCCTGCTGCTCTGGGCCTGCCTTTCCATTAGGATTTTTGTATTTTCTGAGTCATGGGTTACCCCCAACCCCCACCCCTTGGTCCTCCAGTGGGATCTTTGCAGTCCTCTTCAAATATGGCATTTTTATTTTTTATTTTAAATATTTTTTGATTTATTCATTTCTATTTTCTGTGTCTAAGTGTTTTGCCTACATGTATGTAAATGCACCCATGGGTAGGGTGCCTCTGGAGACCAGAAGAGGTTGTCAAAGTTCCTGAAACTGGAGTTACAGTTGGTTATTAGCTGCCATCTAGATCCTGGAGCCAAACCCAGGTCCTCTACAAGAGCAGCCAGTGCTCTTAATCACTGAGCCATCTCTTCAGCCCCAGATATAATAGTTTTCTATGCATAAAATGTTTTAAAGAATATAGAGCAAACCAACTAAACAGAAGCACACTTCTTAAAATATTAAAACACTTGATATATGCTTTATATATTTGGAAATATATAGTTGATAATGTACTAATTTCAGTCCCGGGATCATGAACATAAAAATGTATTTCTCCCCATTAATTCTAAAGACATGCTCCACCCAAACCCCACCCATGGACAGAAAACACTGCTTTACCTGTCCTCGATGATGAAGTATTTCATGGGGTCTGTGGAGTTGCTACTGGGTGTGGCATAGCAGTTGGTCATTAGCAGCACGAACCGGGACAGATCACCCCCATCCAGCATGGTGCCCACGTAGAGAAAGGCCTCAGTGGACAGCATCACTGAGGGGCCTTGGTAAGGCTGCGTGTAGGCGGGGCTCTGGAAAAGTGCCATCCTCACAGTGAACATGCCTGTCCCACCCACGCTGATGTTCAGGGAACTGCAGGAGAAGAGGATTTGGAGAGAGCCACACAATTTATAAAACCAAATCTTCTGAGGTGTTGGAATATCATGGTGGAGGCTTAGAACTCAGGTCTGTAGACTGAGACTCAAAAAGGAATCTGGGTGATTGTCTTAAGAATTTGCCCCACTTTGAAGGCTTTCAGGGATGATAGCAAGGGAAACCAGGCAAAGGACTGGACATGTAACTCAAGATGTAGCCTATGGACCTATAACATCAGCATCAGCAGGAAATTGTTAGAGATGCAGAGCCTTGAGCCGCACCCTAAACCTGATCTACTGGAGACTGCATCTTTATAAGACCCAAGGTGCCACCTGTGGGCTCACTGAAGTTTGCAAAGCAATGGTGGATGGGGTCCAGTTCTGCCATTGGGTTAAAATGGCAGATAGCTGCAAGAAACTCTTCAAGAATGAGATCAGAAAGTGCAGTCGTCTGTGGGTGGTTTTCATCATACCGAAACAGTTACAGTGATGTGAACTTCACTGTATGATCTCTCAAAGGACGTCAAGAGACTGGTGTCATACAAAATAAGGCTTGTGCGAAATATCCAGCAACACAGAAGTTCAATTCACAAGTGAGAACAGGGTGAGACCTCCAGGTCAAGAACGAGAGCGGTTGCTCACACACCTGTTGCTCTCGGGCACCTTCAAGGCAGGCCTAAGTCATGGTCACGTTATCCCAGGACACTGCTTAGCCAGGTAGTATTCCATTCAATAGCCTGGAATAAGCAACTCTTCCTGTAAATCAGAGCCACACATGCTCACCAGGTGGGCACCCCTTCCTGATTCTGGCTGGTCCAGGGAACATGTAGCTATGGGCAAGCTACACGTGAAGATCATGGTAAAGTGAAAGCTTTGGATTTGCTGTTTGAACCTCATCTCTGCCACTTCAAACTTCTCTGAGCTTCAGTCTCCAAATCAGTTTAATGAAGATCATCATCATCATCATCATCATCATCATCATCTATATCTTCTGGAGCTACTGTAAGGCTTTGATGAGATGTTTCATGTAAACCACTGAACACAATCCCTGGCATACAGTGAATGTTCGGTAAATGCTATTACAACTATTGTCTTTCCCAACACGAGCATCAGTGGCCCATGATTCATTCTGCTCAAAAACTTTGTTTTGTTTAGCAACAGGATCCCTTTTCTCTTCACCAAAATAGAGATTTTCTAGTTTACCTCTCCAGATACTTTTCCACCCCAAGTCACCTCCAACGAGCATGATTTGTAAGTACCTCTTTAATCAGACATCTTCAGCTTACAGAGGACTTCACTCAAAGTCCCATAGCAAGCCCAGCTAAGACCCGGGTCCCCTTCCCTTCATAAGCAGGCCTGTCCCCTTCCCTCTGAAAAGCCAGTGACTGAGAGTGGTATTTTATTCACCTTTGCAGAGCACCTCCTAAGGCATTACACGTATTGTTAAAGGCACTCCACAGATGAGACCACGTAGAGCCTGGCTGTGTAGTCCCCAAAAGTATCTGGTTAATATATGGCAGAGCCTTGGTTGGAATCTGAGCTTTGGGATTCCTAGCTGGGCTCCTCGACTAAGCAACCATAGCCTCCCAAACTCTAAAGCCAGATCTTATGGGCAACAGTTAGTACAGAAGTTGGAGATCCCATGGTTGAGGGATAGTGGGTTGGAAATGCCCAGGAACACTGGGAGCTCTTGCTAGCCTCACCTGACCATGGGTTGCAGGGAGGTCTTCAAGCTGAGTTTCATGTCCAGTGGATAGGAGCACGCAAAGTTGATTCTGATATTGACATCACGGATGATGATCTCATTTGCCAGGTAAAGGGTATTGCTGTATGTGGCATGAGTTTCATTGCTCTGTGTTGAGAAGAGAGGGAACAGGATAAAAGGGCATGAGACCCTGAGCAAGATTTTACAGCTAATCTAATCTTTAAAAGATTTTAGGGATACCTCTTCAGAGGGGGGAATGTTAGAGTAGCCAAAAGCCCCATAAAAATAAATCAAAGAAGAAGAAAGAGCACACGAAGTTAGAAAAAAAGTGATGGGGCAATATGGGAGGAGTTGGAGGGGCGGGAGTGGGCATGGATTTGATCAAAACACCTTATATGCATGTATGAAATTCTCAACAAATTATTTATTTTTTCTAAAAAAATTTTTTTACAGCTAAAACATTCATCTTTGGATACTTGAAGGCTGCTCTCCCAGTCTGTGTTACAACAGCAGTGACTTTAAGAGTGCCTGTCCTGACCTAGACCCAGAGCTACATGCTTCTCCTGTATTGTTCTGTCACTTCTTCCAATGGCCTGAAGAGGCAGGACTGCTGAATCCCTGCTTCATGGATGAAGGGATGGAGGCTCACAGTTTAGCTGAGGAACCAGCACTGCTTGGGATTTACAATGCCTGAACTCGTTCCATCACTGTAGCCTTCCTCTTCAGACTGAAAACCATATGCAAGCTGTTACTAACAGAATTTCACACGACTATTGACAAATGGAGGTTCCTTTCTTCCTTCCTTTCTTTTGTTCCTTTCCATTTTCTTTCTAGGGATGAAGGAGGGAGGAGGATGCCAGGTTCCAGTGACAAGCATTTATCCACTGATCTCTGCCTGCAGAGAAGCCTCTGTGGAGAAGGCTCTGCCTCCCAAGGTCCCTGGACACAGACTCATGCGCTTCTGATCCCAATGCTGACCCCTAATGGCTAGAAGTCATCACTGCCACCTGAACCTACATTCCCCACCTGTAAAATGGGAAATAACCACTACTGATTAAGCTCACACCAGACACATGGATTAATTTAATCTTCTCAATACCCTGATGGACTAAGAACAATTATTTCTCCATTTTTCAGTTATTCAATCATGTTAAATAACTCACCCAAAGCTCATACCAGTGGTGCACCCAGGCTTAAGCAGGAGCAAGCACTCTGATGCTGCTGTAAGGACTTACGGTCAGCACTGTCCCACAGGGACCATCTCGGGCAGGGGTCACCACAGACATCCAGTCTCGTTCACCACTCTCACTGAAGCCTGAGCAGTGGCTGTCTTGGAGGTACATGAGGACCTTGGTGAAACCCAGGCTCTGCAGCTGGCACTTGCTCAGGGACATCTTGATGTCATTGGCCCCACAGTCCAGTTTGCGTTCCAGGTGGGAGACATCTGAAATGGTGAGGGAGGACACAATGAGAGCCTATGTGACTTTCACACTCATGCCATGATGCATGAGCACACATACACACACACACACACACATACACCACAAAAAAATGAATGTAAAAATTGAAAAGTATTTTTTAGTTTTTCATATTTAGTGTTTTAGATGTTTCACTAAAGCATCACGTAACTGCAGAAGTGAAATACTTTATTTCCATTATATATTTTTTTCACAGTTAATCTTCTGAGGTGTTATTTGTGACACACACATAGTATGACCATCCACATCCCAAATTAACATTTGCTAATTTGGAGAGGAACACATTAATCATAAAACTCACCACACAGATAGCACTTGGATAGAAGCAGAATTGTACTGTTAGCACTACACGTGATGGATGTCTGGAAAAGTCTTAGCCATCTTTAATTACATTCTGAGGACACAGTCTGGGAAAGGGTCAGTGCCTTGCCCAGTATCTCACACCTGCCTCTAGACTGCTGCTGTCAGTTTCTGATGTGGGTGGTGGCTCTGACTACCAGACAGCAGCAATCAGTGTGCCTGTTATGGTGGTGGGAGTCCTTAGAGTCAAGCTTCTGGGTAGGAAGCCATCCCCAGTCCCTAGTTGGTGGGAGCTTTGGATCCAATCAAGAAGACCTGGGAGCCCTAAGAAGCTTTGTGCCGGTTTTAATGGGTACTAACGACCTTGGGTCCGGTGCTCTAGGTCATACCCCCACTCTGGCATGTGTCCCACCCCCAGCGGCTGACTGGTCACTTTCTCAGGATCTTCCCCTGGGGACTCACCAGTGATGTTGAAGTCCTGCCTGCACTGGCAACGCCATCTGCCGTTATCCGATATGCAATCCTCGTCTTCCCTGCACTCTGCACAAGTCCCCTCCACGGAGCTGGGATCTGCAGAATCATCAAGACAGACAGTCAACAGCGAGTGTCCCCAAGACCAGATGGCCTGCAGACTAAGGATAGCTGGCTTTGCCTGGCTCACCTGTGCAGTAAGCCAGATTGCACTCGGGGGGAGCCGTCAGGTTGTACACGTAGTAGCCACTTGGGCAGGCCTTCACCTGGACCTGCGCGTTCCACAGGCAGCAGTTGCCACTCCAATGAGCACAGGCAGTGCGGGTCACGATGCCCTGGCTGCTAGAAGGATGCGTGCCATTGAGCCACATTGGCGCAGCCGTGTTGCAGCGCAGGACCGGCACACACGTCTCAGCCATGCGCACTCCACCCTGGCCTACAAACCGGTACCAGCCAAACAGATCTGAGTCACAGGCATAGCCGGCGCCATACTCTGAGCTTCGCCAATATTCCTCCAGGGTCCTGTGCGCCTTGCAGGGGTCTTCACACACCAGAGCTCCACCCGGGCCATGAGGCAGGCAGTCCAGCCCCGGCCCACAGGAGCCCGGGGAACACTCACAGTGCCAACCATCCCCTTCATAGCCCTCGGGACACACGCACGAGTAGTTGCCCTCTCTGTTGACACAGGTGGCCAGGGCATGGCAGTTGCTGAGCTCCAGCTCCGAGCACTCATCCACGTCAGTGCAACCCAGTCCAGGCGTCAGACGAAAGCCATCCAGGCAGACACAATCATAGGAGCCCAGCGTGTTCACGCAGCTGCTGTTGGCCGAACAGTTGTGTGCCTCCGGAGTGGCACATTCATCCAGGTCCTCACACACAAGCCCGTCGCCAGTGAAGCCCTCCTGGCAGGAGCATGTCGTGGCGGCCCCATCCGCCAAGCAAGTGGCGTTGCTGTGACATTCAGAACACCTTCCTGGGGACAGAAAAGCCGAGTCTCAGATCCTGGATGGCTGGATTGATGGCCACGCAGATTCCTCCCTGCCCCCAAAGGAATCCATGTCCTTGAAAACTCGTTCTCTGGCTGCTTCCCTCCAAAATTACCCAACCAGTCTCCCCTGGTGTTAAAGCTTCCCTATTCATTCTGTAAGCATGGCCTTTATATTATGCTTTTTTAGAAAAAAAATATCCACATAGTCACATCCAGGTAATAACACACAATCTTCCTGATACCTAAATAAAAAGGATGCATACTTTTCATTTGAGAGTTTGCTGGATTCTTTCCAAAGCCTGCTTGGGACTTATTTTTATTTATCTTTGTTAAAAGATGAGAATCCCAAGATACAGAAGGAATAAGCTACTTGGAAGTTGGCAAGCTGCAGAGCCAGGGCACACACATGGCAAGACCACAGAACGTGTGTCTTTAACCATGACCCCATAATTATATTTCTTGTGCCTCAAAATACTCCAGGGAGCAGCTGGAAGTGAAGGGAAGGCAAAGCACACCCAGTGAAATGACCTCGAAATTCAAAGGTGAGATGTTTTACAAGCAACTCCCAGGTGGTAGAATCTCCTATGTGGCTGAGTCTGCTCCTGGCTTTCCAGTGAAGTGCGGTGACATGTCGCCCCAGCATCAACATGACCTGGAATGTGTTGTTAACTCAGAGTCTCAGACTCCTCTCTGTATCTACTGAAGTAGTCTTTCATCTCAGCAAAATTTCCAGGTGAGTCTTATGTATACTGTAATCCATGAAATGGACTTAGAATAAAGATTATGTCAATCCCAAATATGCTAACAGAAGGGTTAAAATGGTTTCTGCAAAGGGAACATTGTTCCCTACACACACACACACACACACACACACCACTTACTTGCTTCTGAGGAATTGCTGGCTACAGCTGTTATGAACCAAGAGGTCACCACCGTTACCACCAGCATCCAGGTCAGAGAGAACAGCCGCCCCATCCTTTCCGTTCTTACCAGCTACTCTGGTCCTGGAAACACCTGCCCTAAAGCAAGCACAGGTTGGTCCCTTGGGGCTTGGAGTCCTATGAACAGAGATGAACAAGACAAAGACAAATGTATAACTCTTCCGCATTGATGGGGGGTGCTTTGGTTGTACACTGCTCAATTTCAGGAGAAAATATCTTATATGGACTTAGTGGGCCTCCCCCTCTGTGGACACAATCTTACTCCAAGTTCCACCCTTACCTACTCAGTCGTCACGCATTGCACATTTTTAATTTTACTTTTCATTTTTCAACAACTTCAATGCTTCACCTCATCCTGTCCCTCACCCTCCAATTCCTCTCACATCCCCTCACTTCCTCTCAACTTTGTGACCTCTTCCTTGATTAATACTGTTTTACACACACACTTATTGACATACATATATGCATACATACATACATACATACACACACATAACTGATACTGAGTTCATTTAGTGGTGCTTGCATGTACATGTGTTTATGGATGACCACTTGAGGATAACCCACCAAAGAGCTCCTCCCTGGTGAAAACTCATTTTCCCTCTCTCGGCAGCCATTGATTACCTGTAGCACTTCATCTGGAGGTGGGACCTTGTAAAATCTCCCCCATATACTCTGGCATCTCAGCTGGTGTTGCACATTTTGAAGAACTAAGTCTTTCATTTGGAGCAGAAAATAGCGATGGAGTAGTGTTTGGACTCACCACCTTATCAGAGATAGCTTTAGATCTTTTTAAAAATATATTATTATTTTTGTTTTATGTGTATGAGTATATTGCCTGTATGTGCGTAAGGGCACCCGTGTTGTGCAATGCCTGCAGAGGTCAGAGACGGTCGGGTCCCCTGGAACTGGAGTTATGGATGGTTGTTAGTTGTCGTGTAGGTGCTGGGAATTGAATGTGGGTCCTCTGCAAGAGCAGTCAGTACTCTCAACTGCTGTGCTATCTTTCCAGCCCCGAGGCAGCTTTCAAGCGTAATAGCCAGTTCTTGATTGCCTGAAAACTTACAATTTGTCCAGATCTCCTGGTTTATTCGACAAACATTTGTTGAGTGGCTACTGTGTACCAAGCAGGGAGCTAGGGACTAAGGAGAGCAATGACTGCAATAAAGTCTGCATCTTCACACAATTCACATAAATAAATGACTCAAGGTAAGGAACTCTAGACCTTGACAATACATTGTAATGCTTTTAGAACGGTCACTCAGGATTTCACCCAACGGGTGAAATAATTCTAAGCGCATGCAAGTGTCATTCCAATTTTTAGAATAGTAAAATAGGGTAGTATGGTGGTTCAACACATGGGCACTAAGCCACAATAGGAATTCTGGTCCCTGTGTGGCCAATCACTGGGTAAGGCATTCTAATTCACTAAGACTCAGTTTTCTCATCTAGGCAATCAGGACCATTTCTCCCACAATCTGAGTGGAAGAAACATCAGGCCTAATTCATATATATATGTATATATATATATATGAATGTTTGTGTATTTCATATACAACATCTTAGCCCTCTTTATACCCCCTTCCCCATCAGCACACTCACATAGCCCCACCCACTGGATTTCATGCATTCTGTCATTTATGTTAAGGCCTGTGGAGTCAAGTTAGTGTCCCCAGACATCCCTCAGTGCAAGTTCATTCACTGGGGTCTAGTCAGCCTATCTAGAGTCACTCCCTTAAAGTCAGGCCTAATTCTAAGAAGCTTCTGTGCTTCAAGAACTTGTGTTCAAGAATAAATGTTCTCAGGGATAGAAAGATGGTTCAGCAGTTAAGAGTGCTTACTGCTCTTGTAGAGGACCCGAATTCAGTTCCCAGCACTCACACCAGGTGGTTCATAATTTCCTGTAACTCCAGTTCTAAGGGGATATGATGCCCTCTGGTCTATGAGGGTATTTGCAACCATGTGGTGCACATAAACTCAGGAACACATACAGACACATAAATAAAAATAATAAATATTTTTAAAGAGCTGTTTTCTAAAACTTTAAGTCCAAGATATAAGGAGATGCCACACACATACACACACACACACACACACACACACACACACACACACATGCACGCACGCACGCACGCACACACTTAAAGTTTTACGAAACATTTATCCTTACAATGTGCATTACTTGCTGATGTAGCTGATGTAGTCTATTTATTAAAAAGAAAATTCTAGTAGAAACCACATTATCTCACAAACCAGTGGTGAGTTGTGACCTGCAATTTGAAAAGCGCCGTGATGACTGGTGACCCCAAGATTAACTAAAATGGTATATGCAAGGCAAGAACCAGCGCATAGCAGACACTTTGGCTCATCGTCATAACCCAAGTGCCTGGTACATAGTAGATGCTTAAGTAATATTATTGAATTAAGGAAAAATAACAATAATCACTATTAGATAAGCTTTGTTTCAAAGAGGAGGTAATTTGCCACATAAACAAAGCCAGTAATCAGCAGGGTAATGACTCATGTAGCTCTGATCCATGTCCAGATCCTCAACTTCCTCTCCACTTCCCTGAAGTAAAATGAGATTAATAGGAGAGAGGAGAGGGCAGCTACAGATAACCTTACCTGAAGCCAGGAGGGCAGGACTGGTTCATTCGCAAGTAGGTACCTCTGACAAATATATACACATCTGCCCCCGCCTGGTAATCTCTCCTCCAATTAGTTTCTTGTTCTATTTCTTGATATTCTTTCCTTGAGGTGGAATTTTTCTCTTCCCCTTGGCATGATATTTGCCTTTTCCAAGCTGTGAGGTTGTTGTTGTTATTTTTCCTAATAGTTTGAAACATCAAATGACTGACATTGGGGGGGTCACACCTGTACCTCTGTTTTGTACCTTTTGGCAGCAAGACATTCCTTAGTTAGACATTAACTAGGAAAGCAGTGCTGAGGTGCTGGACTTCTTCTTGGTCACAGGAAAGGGCAAGGTGGACCCAAATGCAAGGGTTCAGACGGAAGTCAGTATCTGAAGCCAAGCTGTGTTAGCATAAAAGGATGTTTGTTGCCCCCGTTGGAACACACTCCTATTTCAGAGACAGCACTGTTCCAGAATACCCCATCCTCACCAGACGAGCCCCCCTTGGACTAAGGTCCAGACAAGAGCAAGAGAAGAGCTGAAAATGGGATCTAGTCAGGGCCACAGGCCATTATGACATCCCTCAATCTGACCCACTCTGTCAAACAAGAAATCTGAGGTTAAAAGCGTAGGGATTCCTTGCTCTGAAGAATAACTTTGTTATTAAATGGGCTGAGTTTGTCTGGATCTGCCATGAATCATTTCACAGGAAGTTCATCTCTTCTCCTTCCTGAGGCCACTTTCTTCATCTACAGAATGAGATTGCCAATCTCAGTGAGTGGCAATGGTGGTTAATGGAAATGATGCCAGTGAGGACACATGGTGATATTTGAGTCCAGCAAATTCTGTAAAAGCTCTTTTGCTGCTGTGGAGTCATAGAGATAGAATATCCTAGACACAGAGATACAGTCACAGTTCCTGATCCAGTCCTTATGTAGGTGTGCACTTGAACTGAGCAGGAACCATGACAACCACATTGACTTTCTTTGGAATTTTCTTATTCTGTCTCCTGCATTAGTTTTGGGACAGCATGCTATTTAGAATAATTTCATAGATGTGAAATTTCTAGGCCAAATAGGTGTACACTTTTTAATATCTTGAAACCTCTTCTCCCAAAAAGCACCCCACTGACTTTGTTACGTGTGACATGTCAATTACCTCCCCTTTATTTTAGATTTTTAAAAAATCTTTCTAAAAAGATTTTATTTAATTGTGTGTATATTGGGGGTTATGTGCACGTGAGTGCAGGTGCCTGTAAAGGCCAGAGCTGTTGGATCTTCCAGGAGCTGGAGTTACAGGTGGTTGTAAGCCACCCAATGAGGAATTGAGCTCAGGTTCTCTGGAAGAGCAAGTGCTGAGCCATCTCTCCAGCCCACAGTGAGGTTCTTAAACATTTATAGGAACTGAGGCTGTAGCTTGGTTGGTACAGTATTTGCCGGGCATGCATGAAGTTCTGTGTTCTGTCGTCAACACCACTGAAACAGAATGTGGTGGGGCACACTTACAATCCCAACACTTGGAAGTAGAGGCAGGAGGATCAGAAGTTCAAGGCCATCCTCAGCATCATGGTGAGTTTGAGACCAGCATGGGCTACATGAGAATTTGCTAATAAAATAGTAATAGTAATAATAATAATAATATAATAATTTAAGCCTCACCTGTAGTACTCAGTAATTCTGAGCATATTTCTTTCTTCTCGACCAACTTTCCATTTTCTTTGCCAAAGCAAATGAGAAATATCTTATTGTTCATTTTTGCAGTTCTTTGGTGAAAAAGAACATTGCATCTCATTTGTTTACCTCCTGTTCTTTAAGGAACTATCTCTTGATAGTCTGAGCCTTTCTCACAAATTCCCACTGAAACCACTCTGGTATCTCTACTGGGTTTAAAGATGGTGACTTTATGCAGCTTCTGAAATTGTCTGGGCAAAGTTTCAGACAGGAGAAAGGAGAGTTGGGCTGCTGTCTACTCATAAATGCAAGTATAACATTCTCTGCTTTCTGTATTTGATGCTTTCTAGTCTCAACGCCTGACTGGCCCCAGAAGGAGAGGCTCTCCTGACCTGGTCAGTCTTTGGAGATGGCAAACACTTCCTTCGTTGTGAGGAGACTTTCCTATGCTTACCAACCACTCTAAGAATCACATGCCATCTCCTGCCTCCTTAATGTCTCTCCGAGGGCAACTATTCCCTACTCTGATCACTCTTGAGGACTATCAGGAACCAGAAAACTGAGTATAACTCATATATCCCAAAGTCCATTAAAATTGAAGAAACCAACTAGTCCTAAACTTGCTAACCCTACTTCTCCATTCCTTCTTAAAGACACTGTCAATAAGGGGCTGGGGAGATAGTGTAGTCAACAAAGTGCCTTCCACACAAGCATGAGGACTTGCGTTCAATCCCCAGCCTAGCCTACTTGGTGAGTTCCAGGTCACTTAGAGGTCCTGTCTCAAAAAACATCCTGAGAAATGACACCCAAGGCTGGCCTCTGGCCTCTGGCTTCTGCATACCCACGTACTCGTGAACACACAGACACTCCAGAGAGAGAGAGAGAGAGAGAGAGAGAGAGAGAGAGAGAGAGACTACAGCAGAGACTCTTACACACCTGTCCCTCCTGCTCCCTTCCACCCTGACCCCTCTGGTGCTGCTTTTATACCTTCCTCTCATGTTATTTCCCTAATCTCCACAGCATGGCATGGCCCCTTTTCTTAAGATCTGTGAGCGTGACAAGCTATGGCAGCATTACTCAACCCTGTTGGCCATGGCATAGCATCATTATATTAAAACTTATGTTTCAAATAATAACCATCGCCTTCACTCAACAGATCTGGATCCTCTTCAGTATGTCTCCAGTGCATCATTTTTCCACTCAGCCTGCTTTCCTCAATCCTCATCCTCTCTCTCCAGCCATGCGCACTTAGGGAGCTCGTGGCACCCTTCATAGATGCCAGTGGTCCCTCATCTTCTCAGGCTCCCTGCATCTCTTCTCCTTGAGATGAAGGCCACATCACTCTTCTTGGAAGGGCTCTCTTCCCTCTGGTGCTCCAATGCTCTCCTTACCTTAATACTCCTTCTTCCTGTATCTTTTCCCCAAGAGAGTTCTCAACAAACCTTTTCTGCAAAAATATTCCTTTGATCCTGCACTCACCAGGCTATTTCTGCCTTATTTTTCATAACCAAATTTCTCAAAAGATGTATCTTTAATTCACACCAGTATGCTTTCTGAAGAACCAACACCATTCAAATTACTCCTCAAATCATCAAAAACATCCATGTTCCCAAGTGCAATCTTTTATTTTTCATTTTTACAAAAACGTTATTGAGAATTTCATACATGCATATAAAAGTGTTTTGATCAAATCCATACCCACTCCCTCCCCTCCAACATCGCCCCCTGGAAGAGGTAACCCTAAAATCTTGTAAGGATTAGATACACGCTCCCAAATACTTTTGACATTTTTGGTCTTTGGAACAGAGTATGTTGCTAACAGGCCCAAGGCTGTTTTGACATTTAGTCAAGAAACTGGCTACATTTCTTTGGGGTCTTTTTACCCTAACTGCCTAGGCAATTCCTACCTCCTATTCTTATCATGCCATCCTCTGAAGGGGTTACCTAAATTGCCAATAGGGAGTAGGGACGCACACCACTCTGGCTTCTTTCATGCTGAACAGGGATGCAGGGTGAGACAACTGGAGTACCCCTTCAGTGGATCTATCTAAAAGACTCCCAAATTGTATAACTCTTGTCTC